GTATTCATTTATAATAAAAAATAATTTATTTTTGTCTTCTATAAAATTAAACTTTAATACTATATATGCTAACTAAAGACCGGTCTTTAGATCAGTCTTATCAATCAGTCTAAACTAAAAGAAACATATTTTGGATCAAACTGAATTAGTAGACTGAATATACAAAGACCAGTCCTAAGGCCAACTTATGGACTGGTTCAATTCTAAAAAAGATAAAAGACCAGTCTTTTTAGATCAGACTAGACTATACCAGACTGATCTAATCTTATAGATATAATTGCATGGTATACTAATTCTAATAATAAATTAAATATTAAAAACCAAATTTTATAAATAAAGATGATGATCTTATACTTAAATAAATTATAAAAAAATAATCAGAAATTTCTTAAATATTGATTAATTCATTTATTTTAAAAATTAACTCTTAAAATTTTAAATAATAATTTTTTTTAATTTTTTTAAGTGACTAGATACTTTTTTAAGAATAGTGTAAAAAAGAAAATTATTTAGAATGATCTTTAATGATTAATAAAAACAAAGGATAAAATGATATTGAGATACAAAAATAAATAATAAAATGATTGCTGAATGATAAAAGATAAACATTAAAAGAATAAAAAAATTTGCTAACTACTTTAACTAAATCTTTAATATATACTACCTATATATTATATTTTAATTTTTATTTATTTAAAGATAAAATTAATATTAATAATTGAATTGAATATTTTATAATAAACTAAAATATATATATAAGAAGTTATTTAGAATGTTAAATTAATAGAGAAATATATATCAAACGAATGAATTTAAGACAAAAATAAGAATATTTTTAGGAAAATATAGAAATTAAATATATAAATAAGAAGAATATTATAGATAGCAGCTAGGTATTTGGATAATATATTCTATAATGAATGATAAAATTGAACATAGTATTCTAAGAAAAGATTTTAATAAAGATGAATTATATATTTTTTCATATGTTTGCACTTGTCATAATTTTAAAATATGACAATTATCATGTAAACATAAATTTGTTATTTAGCTTAACTTTTATACCAATAATACAAAAGAATAATTATATTAAGATATAAAACCTTCAATTTTCTTTAACAATTCTTTTGACTAAAGATATTACCACAATTAAAAAAAAATGACGCAATTGAGTTGCAATATGTAATGCAATTAAATTTTCTTATGGTGCAATTAAGTTAAAACTCAATTAAAATTTAAAAATAATTATGAGGATCATCTTTACTTTTGATTTTCATAATATTATTATAAATCAAAATAGTAATAAAAATAATAAAATATTAAAATTGCAAGAAAATATTTCTATAATTATTGAAGAATAGAAAGATAAACAATACAAAAATATTTGAAGTTTACAAGAAATTTTTAAGCAAGTTGTTTAAATAAAAAAAGTAAGATTTGCAATATTTAAAAGATATCACAAGTTGATAATAATATGTATGAAATTTCTCAAATTGTATCAAATGTGAAATTTATGACAGAATTGTTTTTAATTTTTTTTATATATATGTATTGTCACTTAATAAAAGAAATCATTTAGCTTTTAATATTCAATAAAATTATGTTTATTACTTTTTGCTTGCATTAATATTTTTCTCTAATAATTTCTATGTTTATTATAGTTAAAATAAATGATGCATATTAAGGAGAGGCAGATATTTTAATGCGAAAAATTATGGATCAATTCCAATCCTTTATACAGAAAAAACTATGAATTTGTTTTATACAGCAAATCTTTTGTACTAATTCTGTATAAAAAGAATTTTTTTCTTTCACTTTTAATAGGCAATTTTTTTTCTAAATCAGTGCCTTACTTTTAAGTTAATGGTAATTTTTAAATTAAAATTTGCTTATTGATCGATTTTAAGTTTTTTTGATATTTATCATATGGTGACCACCATAGCAAAGGTGGCGATACGTCGACCAATCAGATTTTGAGATTTTATGATAATCATATCTACTAGTCTAACTAACCATTTGGAAAAAATTTTTTTTCATTATAATTTATTAGTAAAAAGGCATAAAAAAGCATAAAATTTAGCTTCTTTTTTTATCCTTTCATCATAAAAAACTTTTGTTATAATATTAAATGAATGATATAGAATATGGTATTTATTTTGATAATGACAATGCAAATAAAACCATTTCAGCTACTTTGGAAGAACTAGAAAATACTTATTTTCTTGAAAGTTCAAGTTCTGAAAGTAAAAAAAATATATTGGATAATCATGAAATAATATCTGATAAAGAAATTGCATCTATCAATAAAAATTTTGAAAATTTATATTTAAGTAATTTTGAATTTGCTGAAAATTCTGATAGTTATATTAAAGATAGTTTTTATGATGATCTGAAATTAAAAGTTAAAAAGGTTTTTGAAAATGGGAAATATTTGTATCATTCTAATTGTTTTGAGAAAATTGGATACGAAAGGTTTCTTAAATATAGAGCAGAATTTGAAAGTTTAGATAAGACTATGCGAGATATAGTTATTAAAAGACAATTTATAGCTTTTCAAAAAGAAGGAAATTCAATTAAAGATAAAAAAAATATTCACGTTTCAATTTTTATTTTAATAATAATCTTTCAATCTGCTGTGTTGCATACTTATCTCTTATTGAGTTAGTCACAAATATTTAGATAATATAAAAGAACATTTATGGGAATATGGTCTTAAAGAGTATACACATAGTAATACTGGCAAAACTCCAAAAAATATAAATCGTGTTGAGGTAAATTATAATTTAGCATATGAAATACAAGAATTTTTAAAAAATTATGCTAATATATACGGTATACCTCCACTCAAATGAAATTTTACTAAAATTACTATGCCAGTTATATTTCTTCCAACTGGATATAATTATTTTTCAGTGTATTGTGATTATATATAAGCCTATAAGCATGAGTATGGAAGTGATATACGTATTATAGCCTGATTAACTTTTATTAATATTTGGAAATCCTTAATGCTATCAATTCAATTTATATTTCCAAAATCTGATATATGTGAAACCTGTGAAAAAATGAAAATTGATATTTAGTATGCTATAAAACAAGAAAAGAAATTAGCAGTTACAGAAAATTATTTAACTCATCTTAATCATGCAAAATAAGAATGTGATTACTATAATGCTAACATTAAGCATGCAGTTGAAGATAGTAAACATAATCCAAATATAACTGAATCTCAAGTATTATTCAAAACTTTTGAAGGAAGCACTCATATTACATATGATTGGGCCCAAAATGTGCTAATTCCTTACTTATCACAACAAATAGGTTCTTTGTTTTTTAAAAGTCCAAGAAAAGTACACTTATTTGGAGTTTGTAATACTGACAATTTTCCACATCCTGATGAAGGTAAACAAGGAAAAGGTGTAAATTGCACATTAAGTTTGGTTTGTTAAGCAATTCAAAAGTATAATTGTGGAGAAAAAAAATTAGTTATTACTTGTAATAATTGCGTGGATCAAAATAAAAACATCTATTCTTTATTTTTTTATTCATAGTTGATTGATCGTGGATTATATGATGAAGTTGAGCTAAATTTCATGATACCTGGACACACAAAATTTATTTGTGATAGCTGTTTTGGTTTGATTAAAATTCTTTATCGAAAAAGTAAAGTGAATACTTTAGATGATGTAGTTCAGTTATTAATCGTTCTACTACAGTTCATCTTAATGTTTCTTAGTGCTATTTAAATGGAGAAGGGTTTCAATATTATAATTTTAAAGATTACTTTCAAATGTTCAAAAAATTACCTAATATCCAAAAGCATCATCATCACTTCTATTTTACTTCAAAACATCCTGGAGTTGTTTTTTATAAAGAACGACTTGAAGATGATTATAAGAAAGCTACCATTCGCAACTTTTCTTATGATTGTAATATTCTGCCTTCTACAATTCGTGTTAGATCACTTTCTTTGAAAAGGCAAGAGGAATTGCATAAGGAAATTGCACCCTATATCGATTTGCCATTTCGTGAAATTACTTGTCTGAAACCAAGTATTTTAGAAGAAAATTAGACTAGGAGTATTATAATTTTTTACAATTTTATGAACAAATAAGCTTACTTTTTACTTATTATTTTGTTATTGATGTTGTTATTACATTTTTATTATTGTTTTTATATTTACAAACATTTAAAATAAAAAAAAGTTGTTTTTAAAATGATTACGAAATATTACGCAAACTTATTAAACCTATGTATTATACAAATTTTATGATTTAAATAAAAATAAATACATTAAAAGAAGGCTAATGTACTCAAATAATTGCTTGCAAAAATTCATCTTAGATTATAAAGACCGATTTTGAAAAATTCAAATTTTTTGCGATGATCGACAAAAATTAATTGCGTAATTTAAATCGCGATTTTCTCGAAATCACGTGATCAGCGTATCGCTATGGCGGTCCCCATATAATAATTGCTTTTAAAAAAGTAGAAATGTTTCTAAACAAAACTTACACTTTCATCAACTTAATAATCTTAAATAATCCGATTCAACTTAATACAAATAATCATAAAAATTAAATCATAGAATAAGTGAAAGGGTACATATTTTAACAAAAAATAGCTTCTTAAGATTTTAGATCCCAAAAAAAATATGTTATCAAATGCGAATATTAAACATCTTTTGAAACTAAATAATATTTAAAGCATAAAACACTAATCTCTATAAAGAAAAATTATGATATGTGAAGTGTGGCATTAATGTTCAGATTTTCGAAATAGGATGACGATATATATCGATATATTTTTAAAAAACGTTATTCAAATATAAGAATTTAACGTTAAAAGTATTTGCGAGATTTATAGTCAATAGCATTAATAAAAATTCGAGAAAAATAGTTTGGAAGAAAAATAAGAATTCGAGTAAGAGGGAAAACGATAATAATTCGAATAAAAGAAAATTTTATTCGGAATAAAATTTGTTGATAAAAATCTTTATATTAAAAATTTTCTGAAAGACTATCGGTTAAATAACAATCTTTCTTCATTCCCTTGGGTAAATTATTGGCTTCATTTATGGTTAGATCTCTATGATCTTGGTATTTTCTTTGTAAATTGCATTCTGATAAGCTATCGGTCGAATCAATTTGATCTCGATAATCCTGGTTTATTTTATCTTCTCGAGAACCAATTTGATTGATGTCCGCACGTGCATTGACATTTCTCTTTTGATCTCTATCTATTTGATAACGTCTTTGCAATCTCGCTTTTTCTTCCGCAGGAATATTTTTCCACCATCCAGATACTAACTTGCTATATTTAGTCATAGGCATATTATGGGGTTTATATTTCATCATATCTTTGCGATACATTATGAACATATTTGGTTTTCTCCTTTTTGGACTCTTTTCGGTTGAAGATAATGTCTCAGGTTCAATAAAATAGAACATTATTACTAACGTCGATAAATTATTTGATAAGATGAAGGAATGCCCAACGACGATAAATCGAAATTCGCCACTTTTATAAAAAAATTTAAACTTGTTGGGCAAATATTCATCCTGTCGAAAATAGAATTAAAGTTTTAAACCTTTTTATGATTATAATGAGACAATGCATCTTTGAAGTTGTATACAAATAAATATTACTCGTTAAATAATTCGATTCCGCCATTCAAATTCAGTGTTGTACACCAGATGATCATCATCAATTGAATTTAGTTAGACTAAGACTTCAAAAATTGCCCGACTTTTTTATTAAATAATTTCATGTACTAACTTAGACCGTTGCTATTTTGGGATGATTAACGCCCTTTTTGATTCCGGTTTATCTCCGATTGAACTTAAAAGGTATTATTATACTTTTATTTATTTTTTTTTTTTATTAAAACCATGTATACATTTCAATGGTTCCTTTAACTGAACCTAAATAATTTTCGTTTTACGAAAATTTAAAAGTTGGATATTTCAATTATTTTAAACAATTAATCATGATTGATTAAAAAAAATGTACTTACTGCATATTGATTAACCGAATTATAATATTGCATTTTTTTTAAATAATCAAAAAAAAACCCCACAAAATTTATGATTAGAAATGGCTTTCATGTATAATGGCTATAATGGCGTTGATGTTTGTAATTGGTAGTACACGTAAATACAGTACTGCAGATCGAACCGCAGTACTATTCGTACCGAGTAACCTTCAAAAAATGTCACGAAATGTGGCAATGTGGCGCATGGCTGATCACAATATTGTGAAACACGTGTAATAGTATTATTATATAATAAAGCTATTGTTAAAAAAAAATCTTAAAAAAAAATAGTCAAGAAACCTCTTTTTTAAACAAAGCGAGAGATAATATGTTTTTTTTTACTGTAAAATACCACATATTAACCCAAAACTAAAACTAAATTTGTAAAGACGTGTTTTTTTCTAGATATACGAAACTTAATTAATGTTTATCATTTAAAGTAACACAAGAATAGGTATAGTTTAATATTTATTTTACGTTACATTTGTTGTAAAATAAATAAATTTATTTATTTATTTAATGTTTTGTAGTAGATATGAAGGCGTCATTTACAGATGAAATACCTAATATAAATATTAGTGAAGAGGCTGTAAAAAAAGATCAGAATGAACAAATGTTTATTGATGGAGAGAATATTTGTGCGACATGTTCTAACTGCCGATCAAATAATAGAAAATGAAGAGAATTTTATCGAATATTTCAAAAAAAAAAAAGGTGGACGAATGAAATTGAAAAATAAAAGTCAAGAGACATGATAAATCATAAGATAGAAATATGATAAACAAATAAGCAGACAGGCGATTTAATTATATAAAGTAAGAGCATATCGTAGGCTGCATATTAGATTGTCTAGCTATTTCGATTTCATTTATAATTCCTTTATTCTTGTCTCCCCGAAAAGTATTTTTTCACGTGTTTTCATGCATCGAGGCAACGAATTAAATTATAAATCATGAAGAAACAAAATCACATGGATTAATACATTATTATTTCATTGAATATCTATTAAATGTCTTTTTAATTCATGTCGTGTAATCTCCTCTATTTTGTTTAAAATTTCATAGGATTTTGAAAGAAATCTCTGCGGTGTTATGCTGCGTGACAAATAAACTTAAAATAGTGAATATAATCTCGCCCGAAAAATCTCCATAAGAATCGCTTTTGATATTTACAGTTAGTCTCTTGAAGATCATTTGCCAGGATGTCAAAAATGCCTAATTAATTTTTTTTTTATATATACAAGCCGGAAATCCTTAAACAGTTCAACATTCCACGCCCGCTCTCTTTGCATACATTCACTTCGAAATCCTTCCTTTAACACCTTCGTGATATTTTCGCTTTCGGCGTTAACTTTTAAATTTCATATATATAACTTCGTTTATTGTTTTATTTTTAATTTCTGATTTTTGTTTATTATGCAACTTTTATGTAATAATTTGTAATGCGCAGTTCTAATTAAATTGTTAGCATTTACTTAGTTTAATATTTTGACAAGCGAAAGTGTAGAGCGCTGACGTTGAGCAACACTGAACGAATTGATAATAATAATAAATTTAGCGTCAATATTACTCAATTAATACCTTCTGCTTACAATACGAATTGTTTATAAATACATAACGATAAACGAAAGAACTGAATACAACAATAGGATAAAATATGTAAACGCATTATAATCTTTTATTTTTTTTTTTATTGTTACAAGAATTCTTTATTACTAGCTTTAATATTCTTTGGTGTGGTGAAAATTCCAATAAATACCCTTATTATGATAATTCCTGTATGATTATTAAAATTATTAAATATTTTCTTTGTACAAGATCTTATAGATCGTGGTAAACTTGTGTACATTCTATCAAGTAGTAATTTGCTATATAAAACATAAAAATAAGCCGGCGTTTGATTGTCTTTTTGATTTAGGAATTTTATTTCCTTAAATAATTAAGACAAAAATTACAATTGTATACTTATCAAATTAACTACCACTAAAACTATTAAACAATTTAAAAACTTTTGTATATCCTATTTAATCCAAATAATTATTTATTTTGAAAAGACAAGAGAAATTCTGGAAATCTATTAAGAGTCATTAGAACACATGAAATGAAAGCCATTTTATACATGATGCATAATGATCCATCTTGCTATCAATATAATGTTTGACACTATTAGAAAAAGGTATTATTGGCCTCAAATATACAAAAATATTTGTGCATATGAGAATGTGACAAATGTTAACAAAGGAGAAAATCAAGCAAGCATAAAGACCTGCATCCTATTTTAATCCAAGCTTCTTTCTATCAAGTATGGATTGATTTTGTAGGACTATTATCCACTACAGAAAGAAAATAAATATATTATTGTGACCATAGGTTACTTTACAAAATGGTATGAGGCAAGGATACTATTTCTTAAGTAGCTTAATTTATCTACAAAGAAATCATTTGTAAATATAAATGCCTTACAAAAATATTAACTGATTTAGAAACCCATTCAATAATAAAATAATAAATGAACTTGTGAAAAAATTTTAAAATAAAACACCTTCTTTTGACCTCTTACCATTTTTCAAACCAATAGACTAGTAAAAAGATTCAATAGAACCTTTAGTGAATCTTTAACTAAAACTACACAAAAAATTTCAAATTGGAATATGTCAATCTCATTTGCTTATAAAACCTTTAAATAATTAATAACAAAAATATCTTTTATTCATTTACTTTTGAAAGAAAAGTACAATTATTCCTGAATGAGTCAGTTAAAAATAATATGACTCTAAATTATCTATCATAAATCAGAAAAAATGTTAAATACTATATAAGACAAATTACAAGCTAATCAAAATAGTAACATAATTGTAGCTTAAAAAAGATTTATTATTTTAAAATAGGAAATAAGATTTTATATTACTATATAGTAAGAAAAACAATAATCCAAATAATTAAAACTAAAATAGAAGGTATTATATTATATACATTAAACATTATTGAATAGTTTTTATAAAATAAAGAAATAATAAAAAAGTTTTATTAATAGAAAACTTTTTAAATTATAACATAATTATCAAAATTAGAAAATTTAAATAGTTACTATCTTTTTTTTATATTTCTTTTACTACTATATCATTAGAAAAATTTAAAATTAATCTAAATTAAAATATCTTTAAAATATTCATCTTATTTTTCTTCTTATATAGAAAATATGAATTTATAAAAATATTGCAGCTTACTTATTAAATCAATTTTTAGAGAATAGTAGTAAATATTTTCTACCTAAAGCAACTTTTAAAGTTATAATTATTATTTCCTTGACTTTAAATTATAGTTAATTTATTTTATATAAAAAGTAATATTAATACTATTAATTATTGAAAAATGGTTAGTTATAGTTTTTTAGCTTTTTTAATTACAAATTTATAGAACTTTTAAAGATTTATAATTAATTAATAAAATATTTAAATTTGAAAATACAAACTTACTTTAAATTTAATAATAATTTATTTTAAGCTTAACAATATCTCTTTAAAATAAAAATCACTTATATATAGGATATCATATTCTAAATGACAAATTAGATTATGATATTTTAAAAATATATTTTATTACATTACTTAAAATTATTCAAAAATATTTGTAATAATATATTTATATTTATTATTTAATATTTATGATAAATTCAACTGTCAGATAATTTGATTCTAAAACTTATAATTAATTTTAGATATATATTAATAATCTAATAGATTTATCAAGTAAGCAAAATATCAATTTAAATAATTATATATATAATTATATAAAAAATTTACAGAACAAAATAAAAGCTTTTTAAATAATTATAATATTTAAATTATTTAAATTAAGGTTTTACTTAAAGAATAATTTAGTTTTAATAAGTATAAAAAAAGTAAAATAGAAAGATTATATATTAATGTTAAAAATAATTCTTATAATTATTTTTAAATTTCAATTGAGTTACATTATAAATAAATTTAATTGCGTTACAAGTTTATAACTTAATTATGCTATTTTTTTAATTATAATACTTATTTTAATTAATATTATAAAACTATTATCAGCAATTTATTAAAATTTATAATATAATATTAATTTCATATTAGTAATAAATATTATTTTATTATAAAGTTAAATGTGTTAAAATTATCTATTCTTATTATTTATAAAAAATATTATAAAATTATAAAAAGAATTATTTAAAAAACATATTTATAAATTGTTAAAATATTATTATATTAATATAAAAAAAAATAAACTTTTAAAAATATTATAAAAGTATATGATTTTATTATATATATTACTTAAAATCTAGTAATTTAAGCATTCTTATAAATATAAGAATAAATAATGACTATAGTTTTATAGTTACTTAAATAATGTAATTATAATATTTAGCTAATAATTC